AACTGTATATAATTTGGGTACTGTAATAACAGTTACTCAGCGGGTCAACTTAAAGTAAAGCCTGAAAGCTTCTCTAGCAGGCTTAGTACCAGAAAGGATCCTTTGTCTGTTAAAAGCTCTGAATTTGAGTGTCAGCCATCGAAATAAAGCAAACAACCAGTCTCATTAATGAGTCCGAAAATCAACTGTGGCCACAGTTTTGTCCGGTTACAGTATGAATGGCTTATCACTACTTGTGAAAGAGCGCTAGTTAGACACTGGTGCGGATCTAAGTGATGCGCACAGTTTGTTCAGCTGGCAAAGTCAACTAAGCGATTAATTGCTTGCCTCCAATAAGGCAGGTGTCGTGAAGTAAACTTATGGGTTTGGCTATGTCAGGAAGCCTGTGCATGATTACCTTTGCTACTGCCAAATAACACATAAAACCGACAACCAGAAGTTAATAATCTCAGCGTTAGGCAGTGTTCTCTTTACAACCAGCTGTTATCCGATGATATGTTTGAATAAAAGTACAAATAGTAGCACGGGGAGAAAAGAGAAGGAGGGAAATGGCTCTCTTGTCGGAAGAACGAAATTGTAAGTAAACAGCCACCCTCAGTAAAGACAATACAAAAAGTGTCTCTCTGTTGCTTACGACAAAGCGCAAGGTTGCGATTGGTAAGTTGGGCTTAAACACCGTTTTTAGGCACTTTTCAGAAGATTTTTGTTTCACATAAGCATATTTGACGTAGGAAAGGTTTTTATATACATAGTTCTGACGGATGGAATGAACGGAGATTGCAGGTCAGAAAAATGCAATTTTAATAGAGCAGAAGATAATAAGTGATTGGCTTCCGTCCACCCTATAGCTCAGGCTGTCATTCTTGATTCTTCAAGGGGCAGATCTGATCAAAGTCAGGTGCATAGGGAAAAGCCATTTAACGCAGCTACTGGCAACCATACGGCAGCAAAGCAAATGCATTAAGACGCCACAGGTATAGACAGTGCTCAAGGCGATCAAGCACATAGAAACTGCCCAAAGACAGGCGACAAGCACCACCTACGTCGCAATCGTTTTCAAAAACATAAAAAAAAACTATTTCATGAATAAAATACACTACGAGGTAAAATAAAGCGAACTGGATAGGTCCCGAACATAAAAACAGATACACGAAAAGGATGTTAAAAATGTAATCACTAAAACGGAAGATCGCATGACAAACCTCCAGCAAGTGTTCGCTTCTTTTCAAATACAGAGTTCGTGCAGTCACCACCAGCAGCGTCTCCAGCAACTGTCCTATTCGCCGGTTCCGTGCAGACCCTCACGAAGACCTCATACTGGGTATAATTCTTCAAACTGGGGACAGTACAGTTCGTGTATGATGACGCTGTATTTGTCCCCAAACAGGTGAATTCTAGGCTCCCATAACTCGACCGCACAATTGCTTTGGAAGACTTTAGTTTGCCATTTTCAGCGCTTGGATTTTCCCAAGTCACTTCAAATTGTCCAAATTTCAATGCGTTCACAGCATACAGCTTTGCCGGAGCGGGAGCTGCAAAATGCACGACAGACGAGTAAGTGCATCCGTAAAAAAACCACCTCAATCGTACCCTTAGACAGAGATTTCCAAACCAAATCATTTAGTCACCCAGGCTTGCTTCAGTGGAGCATAGTTTAATAACAGAAAATTATATAGTAGAAAGGTAGGAGTTTAAGAATATTTCAGCAGAATGGGAAGATAAATAAATTCTCGAAATAAGTCAGGAACGCAACCTGCCTCCTGGAGGTGTACGCTTCGTAACAGAGGGACTGTTAATGCAATAACGGTCCTCAGACAATCCAATGTGTCCGTTTGGGTGTTTGCAGGCCCTCACATAAATGGTATATTCTGTATAGTTCCTTAGGCCAGTGAGAGTACAGGTCGCGTGAGTCGAGGCTGCAGACGTAACATTGCACTCTGCTTCCATCTGTCCGTCCAACCATGCAGAGGCCGTCGATAAAAACAGTCCACCATTCCGGTTGCTTGGATTCATCCACCTCACATCCAGTTTCCCAAATGTTGGGGCAGTAACAGCCATAATTCTTGCCACATCAGACACTGGACAGAAAAAAATCGGGTGGCCGCTTTATGATACGAATGGACTCAGTGGTCGAGATATTTTTCTAGATATTGGGTGTCGTGATAAGGAGTCACGAATAGTCATTTAGAGCCACGCTACTGATAACATTCGGCCGCGCACGTTTTAACTGAAAATTTGGATTCACTAGCACTAGCATGTGCCCAATCTGCTTGCTTCACGTTTTATACAGCGAATATACTGTTACCAGCAATGAAATGGACCTGTCAGCTACTTTTACTATCCAGCTAGATAAGAATACATCGCGTGAGCAATATTTAAAATGAGTTAGGTTTACGTGCTTTGACAAGATGAATAAGCTGTTCAATTCATTCCAAACAATGGAAGCTTCAGAAGCTCATGGCAATGATTGACAGTTTGGAACCGAATAAATCGAGTTTTGTTGGGGCAGTAACAGCCGTAATTTTTGCCATATCAGACACTGGACAGAAATAGAAATGGGTGACCACTTTATGACACAAATGGATTGAGTGGTCGAGATACTTTTCTAGATATTGGCTATTGAGATATGGAGACACAAATAGTCATGTAGAACCACGCCACTGAGACTATTCGGCCGCGAACGTGTTAAGTGAAAGGTTGACATTTTCTTCTGCTTGCTGCACGCTTTCCACAGAGAATATGCTGCCAATACAAGCGAACATCCGTGTCCCAGGAAGCAATTGAGAAGAGGGAGATTCGATCGCTGGGACAATATGTTTAATTACCTGACGTTTTGATTTCCGTCGCGGATTCGTCATCAGAGACATGGGTAGCATTCGCTGTTACCAGCAGTACCTGTCAGTACCAACAGTACCTGCCAGCTAATTCTACTATTCAGCTAGATAAGGTTACATAACGTGACCAGTATGTAAAATGAGTATGTTAAATGCTTTGACAAAATGACCAGTATGTAAAATGACCAGTATGTAAAATGAGTATGTAAAATGCTTTGACAAAAGGAATAAGGTTCCTATTCACACCAAACAATGGAGGGTTCAGAAACTCATGGAAATGGTTGACAATTTGGAACCGAATAAATCGAGCTTTATGACGCATATTATGTGTCTGGCTTATTGGCAGTCCATCAGCAAATGTTCTTTTTACTAAGAGGTTGTTTAAGTACTGAAATATGACTACTAAAACAGAAAAATGGAGTCTCGGTTTGACATCTTTAAGGGTCCTTCGCACACATGCGTAAACAATCTCCCAATCATTTAGACAGAAAGCAAACTCCTTACCTAAATACTGTGATTTTAAACATTTTACGCCAAAACAATGCCGTGGTGATGCCATCAACAACGCTTTTATCAAACCATATTCGGCTAAGACTGCCTGAACAGGCCACTGTACATTTTGAAACTGTTTCTATTCAGGCAGGGTCTCTGGAGTAGGCCGAAGGAAAGTATTTGTCTTACCAGAATCCTTCTGTGACCTGACGCCGCAGCTAGCGGTTCGTCCTATGACCTGCGTATCTGTTTGGGGTACGACAAGCACCCTCACTCAAATTGTCAGGCACGTCACATTCTATGCAAATAATGCGGTAGAATATGCCTCATGTAAATGGTTTGCATACTATCACTAAGACTAAAAGTCTATTTCGCCCGTCGTGGCATGGGCTGCTGATCCGGACTGTATATCAAGCGCAGTAGCTTAACTACAGATTACCGGTTCTAGTGTGTCAGCCTTAATGGAGACCGTTAATCTTTATAATTTATCTCACCTTCAGTACAAGCCCGGACAAATTGTAAAAAAATACCTGTCTCACTAAAACCGACATGGGCACCACCACCCGAACCATCACTACGCAAGATATTTTCTGGTGCCGATTCTATACAGAAGTG